AACCATTAAATACATAAGGGTACCCACTGCTTCCCTATAAGGAAACGTGTTTGGTTTCTTTTCCTAATTTAACATCACTGTTGGAAGTCTTCTCCATTGGTGTTACGACTGATTTACATCTTGAGAAATTAAAACGATCCAGGATTTTTGTAGCACTTTAGCTAACTTTAACGTTTCCCCTATCTGATTTCTTAATTACTAAGCCCAAAAAATAACTTACTGGTTTTGAGATTATTTTAAATTCCTATTTCAACTCTTCAATTAAATTTTCTAACTCTAGATTACATGAAGCTTCCACTAAACTGTCATCAACGTACAAAGCAATAATTTTTTTCTAATTTTTATATCTATTTTAAAAATATTTGAAAAAAAATTAGCATTAGCATTAGTGCTTTTGTTTTAAATATAATTGTATCTATATCATCAACATGATTATCATCCAACGTTAATTTATCACGTCCACTGCTGAACAAAGGCCTCTCTTAAACTACTCCATTCCTTGCGACTTTGTGCTCTTTGTTGCCAATTTTTAATGATACGCCTGATGTAATCAGCCTAATGTGTAAGTGGTCTTTCTCTATTACGTTTGTCTGCTCTTGGCCTCCAATGTGCAATTTTGCTCATCCATCGTGAGTCAGGCATTTTCACTACACAACATCAGCAATACTCGTCCTTCTTCGCAGATCTTCGTTTCTTATTCGGTCCCGCAACGTCACTCCCAGCATAGACCGTTCCATTCGTCTCTGTGCCACTCTTTTGAATTTCAAAGCCGTAGTCTTGGTTAATGGTCTTGGAGGATAAATGCAAGGAAGTAAAAAAGTTGAATGAAAAACATGATACGTTTAATATGTTTAAAAAAGTTAGAGAAGTAGCTGGTCTTTATCATAACAAAACTCCACATACTATAACCGATTCGTCGGGAAAAATGATAATAGACGAACATGAAATTTGAACAACCTGGTGTAATTATATAAGTGAACTGTATAATGATGATAGACCCGAAGAACTGGAGACTTTAGTTGAAGGTGAAGGACCAGAAATACTAAAATCAGTAAGACTGCATGCTATAAAGTTAGCAAAGAACAAGAAAGCCGTTGGCCCTGATAACATACTGACAGGGATGTTAAAGCTTATAAATGAGGAGAACATTGGAATACTGGTCAAGCTTTTCAATGATGTTTATTCGACTGGTGATATCCCTCAAAGATTGGTTAAAGTCCGAATTCATAACACTACCAAAAAAACAACGTCCGAAAAACTGTAGCGAATATAGAATGATAAACCTTATGAGCCACACTTTGAAAATATTTCTACGCATCATCCACAGTAGAATCAGAGATAAATGTTGAAGAAGACCAGGATGAAATACAATTTGGCTTCAGAAATGGACTGGGAACTCGGGACGCCCTCTTTGCACTAAATGTATTACTGCAGAAATGTCGAGATCAAAGGAAATACGTCTTTGCTTTATTTATTGACTATGAAAAGGCCTTTGATCGAGTACAGCATCATAAATTAATTACAATATTAAAAGATAAAGGAGTTGATAGTCAAGACATACGATTCATATAAAAGTTATACTGGCGTTATAACAGCGACAGCTTGCATAAACGGAAAATCAACAGAAATATGTAAAATACAAAGAGGTGTCAGACAGGGTTGTATACTATCCCCACTGTTATTTAATTTATATTCAGATAGAATATTTAAAGAGGCGCTGCATAATTTGGAATGGGGCGTGAAAGTTAATGGAATTCTGATAAATACAATCAGATATGCAGACGATACAGTTATTATAAGTGATGACTTGAATGGACTACAATGCCTTTTAAATGCCATTGATACAATGGGAAGAGAGTTTGGCCTAAACATAAACTGTTCAAAAACAAAACACATGGTGTTTAGCCATCGAGCAAATAGACAAAAGAGGGAATGTTAAGGGAGTGGGGGCAAAAATATTGTTAGACAGGAAGTGCCATCTTGAGAGGCCACATTAAACAAGGAAAGAGAGTCTTCCTTGTTTAAGAAATCAAATTTAGTTGGGTTATGTTGTTGTTTGTCCCAATTGTCACATGAAATCTTATTTATATTGAAGTTTTTTAACAATGGTGTCACATTTTAGACTGTTATCGTTAATATTTATTTAAAGTTTCTCGTCTAAGACACATTCTGAAAACTATTTTATAGTTACTTTTAATAAGTGTCGGAAAATTTAAATTTGGCGCATTCGCATTTCCGGATATGTCCGCCATCAGAGGCCACTTTTTTTATCTCCTTTTCATAACGATTAGCTTTTGTCTTTTTGCTCGATGTGTTTAGCACATCAAGATGCACGATTATATGGTGATGGACATATAATTCAAAGCGTGTACAGTTTTAATTATCTTGGTTGCCATATTACTGAACAACTAGATCCAGATCAAGAGATAAAATGTAGAATCGAGATAGCCCGCACGACATTTTTAAAAATGAGGTTATTCTTCTGTAATGATAACTTGCAACTTCAACTTCGAAAGCGTATGGTTAAATGCTACATTTGGTCAGTCCTCTTATACGGCGTCGAAGCATGAACATTAAAAATGTCCACCATTAATCGTCTGGAGGCCTTTGAAATGTGGCTGCACAGACGTATACAAAAAATTCCATGGACGGCTATGCTGATAAATGATGCAGTCCTTGAGAGAGCAAATGCTGCTCGCGAGCTGCTTGATAACATCAAATTTAGAAAGATGGCCTATTTTGGACACGTTGTTACGTCCCTCCACACATATTCTTATTTTTTATTAAGTATTTCTTATTATTTTATTTTATATTTAATTATTTAATTAACGTGTGTGTATGTCTTACAATCGTAAATTAATACGGCCCTGGGCAATCTACCCCTACTAAACTTAAGGGAAGGCGAAGCTACGACAGTACACACGCACCTCAACTTCAGTCAGTCTTGTATAAATCAGCGCGTTAAACACTTCAGTATTTTTTGTGTAAACTTGACGACGCGCCTACGAAGAGTCCCTGAAGTCCCCTGAGTTTCCCCAGTGCACTATGGAAGAAGCAGAAGTAGATCAACATCACAGGTACCGTAATTTGATTGCATACACACACAACATTTATATAAATTGATAAATTTACATATAACTTATTTTCATACTAAAAATAATACCAGCACCTAACTAAATAATTATGAACGAGTGTCTCTCTAAATAGAATATACATTTGTACATACGTAGTAAGGGGAGACCGATATAATATTCTTCAACTTATTATGATGGGTAAAATCGAAGGACGCAGAGGAATTGGTAGAAAGCAGGCCTCTTGGTTGAAGAATATAAGGGAGTGGACTTGATAGGGCACGTTAAGAAGTCTTGGTTAGTCATGTTTGGTTATACCTGCTGATTCTTATTTCATGATCCAAATACATACATTTCTCCACCAGTTCTACCACTTTGTTTTGAATAGTTAAATGATTATTGGAGACAATATTTGTCATAAACTTAGTTTTGGTCAAGTTAATTCTGACGCCCACCTTCGAACATGGTAAGTCTAATTGATTTAACATATCTGTATTGATATTGTATCTATATAAATAGTTTTAAATTTTTATGTATAAATCCTTAAATCTCTTTCTAATTTCTAATTCTAATTACAAATTTATTTTAAGAAATTCGATTTTATTGTAACCCTTTGAGATATGAATTAAAACTAGGTTTCTTTTATAAATATGAAGGGCGAAGAGCCAGCTATATGTCTCATGGGGTTACAAATCTTACTGCAATCAAAAACAAAAACTACGCCACTGATAACAGGAAGTGGTATGAAATCTATAATTCTATATATATATATATATATATATATATATATATATATATATATATATATATATATATATATATATTTATTTATTCAACACCAGAGAGAAAACATACAAAAATAACATAACAGCACATTAAGAAGACAGTTTGTAGCTCGGAAAAACTCGTGGACAACCGCAACGAATAGCGTAGGCCCAGTTGCTTTAAGTGGGCAAACTTTATATTGTGATATATTTTGCATATATTTTTCAATATTATAATACAGATATTGTACTAATTAAGATTTCATGTTTTAAGCAACCTACAAAAAAATAAAAAAAAAACACATAAAAAACACAAAAAAATTAAAAAATACTAACAAAAACCGGCACAAGCCAACAAAAAAAAAATAACAAAAACCCCAAAAACCTGGGCACGTAAGTCCCAATCCCTTGAGCACCAAGTCTCCGAACTGAGCCTAGCTCAGAGCAGAGACTTTAGGCCCAAGTAAGCAATTTTTAGTTCGCGGATAAGCCAAATTAGAACAGGATCATAGCGAGAATGCGCTGTCCTGAGTTAGATTTCGGTTAGGAAACCATGTTCTATTACCCAGGACTCCCACATGAAGAGCATTTGAGTGATAGTTGTACCCCTATCGCGCATCAGAGTGCTATAGAGGGGAAAGGGATGGTCTGGAGCATTGGAGCGTGGTGGAGGGACTGCTGTTTTTCCTTGAGTTAATATACCTCGCTCCAATGAATAGTTACACCCGAACGTAATTCTTAGGGGTCTCACAGCTTCTGGATTCGATCGCAAAATAATTCAAAATTATTCAGGCCCTGATCAAAATACGGCTTGGAACATTTGGCGAATGTTACCGATTGTTCTCGAGTGCCTGCTTCTTGTATAACAAGACGGAGCATTATGTCGAGTATTAAATTACAAGTAGAAGTAAAATAACAATAATTTTTATTAAAAAAAAAAAAATCCCCTATTGGACAACATCACAGAACGCTTTTTTAATAACTATTCCATCATCAGTGCTATCTGAATATACATGTTTGAAGCAAATCCAAATATATAAATATTTATATTTCTCAATTATTGTTCAAAAAAAAAAACATTAACTGAGATTCAACAAGTAGCTTTTAAACAGTCATTAAGTATTTAGCTAAAATAATTTGAACAAATAAAATATGTGATTATTACCTTCTTTACTGATTTCTTAGGTGACAAAAGCTTATTGAATTTCTTGTCCGGGTCCTCAGAGTCTTTTTCCTTCGAAGGAGTCTTATTTTCGGGGAGAGGTAGTTCATAATTTGGATCTTCCTAAAATAATAAGTAGAAATATATTAATTATAAAGAGCAGCAATCAGAAACATATTACATAAAATAATTAATTAATCATTTTCAAAAAGAAAAATCACACGATTTCTACCTGGCGAAACCGAATTCAAATTTTTACCACTGTGCTTTCTAAAACTTGTAAAGCAAACAGCTTGATAAATTACTCGGCAAGAGAATCTAAAGTTGCATTCCACTGTGAGTAGTGGCTATACCATAAATCCATGATACATGGCTATCTCTGAGGAGACACCTAAAGAGGTCGAAATACGTATAGGCGGCTTGCCGCTGCTCTGTATCGAAACAAAAATCTAGTACCATCATTATGTTTTAATCATTTTCAATGTATTAACTCTTTTATTTATGTAGTTATTAAATAACAATGCATATAAAGAAATCAATTGATGCAATAATTTTAAATCATAGATGAATTATTCTAAAAGGCATCTACGGACAAGAGATACATGTTGCAACGCTGCATAGTATAGCCATTCGCATTTATTATTTTAGTTATAGTAGTAGTTACGTAGTATAATGAAAAGAGCTCTTGAGGGAGCAGGAATAAAGGTCAATGAAACACCAATTAACAACATTAGATATGCGGACGATACTATTATAATAGCAAATAACCTCTCAAGACCTCCAAAAGCTAATGAACAAGATAGTTGAGTTTGGAAACGAATATGGATTATCAATAAACATCAAGAAAACTAAATTTATGAGGATATCGAAAACCCAAAATAATGATGAAAGCCTAAGAATTAACGGTAAAACTTTAGAATAAGTTAAAACCTACAATAATTATCTTAGCACAATAATTAATCACACAAACGATTACTCCAAAGAAATAGTTGAATAGAGAAGAAAGTTCGAATAGAGAAAGCATGATCAAACTTCATACTACCTGCTAGGTATATCACTTAAGGACAAGAAAACAAACACATGGATTAAGGTCGATTCAGACACATCAGTCACGTCTCGTCACAGTGATTGCGCCGAACCGAACAATCCGTCATACAAAATATTATTTAATACAAATATGTTGCCGGCATTCACACTCATCAGTTGACAAACAGTTTCCCAGCTGTCTGATAGTTGATAGTTCTGTGACCAAATAGGACCGGTTCGGCGCCGAGACTATGACGGGACTGATGTGTCTGAATCGACCTTAAGACAGAAAACCAAAGTCACCGATGTGGTGCAAAAATCATTAAAGTTGAAATGGGAATACGCTGGCCATGTAGCTAGGAGCGATCTAAACAAATGGCACAGATCAATTTTAACCTGGAGACCATACCATCACAAAAGACCCAGAGGCAGGCCTCCTATGAGATGGACAGATGATCTGAAAAAGACTGCCGGGAAAAATTGACTACAAGTAGCGTACAATAAAAAACAATGGAAAGGAAGACTTGAAGAGGCTTATGTTCAGATGTGGACGTGAATGGCTAGACGAAGAAGAAGATCAAACTTCAATAAAATGAGAAAGCTACTTTGTGCAAGAGAACTGAAATTAGACTTGAGAGTTAGGCTTTCAAGGTGTTATATTTTCTCGACTCTACTTTACGGGATAGAAGCATGGACACTTAACGCGTCGACTACTAAAAAGTTTGAACTGTGGTTGTATAGAAGAAGCCTGAAGATATCAAGACACGAAAGCTGCAATACCTGGGGCATGTTATGCGTAATGGAAGATAGGACATACTTCAATTAATTACTCAAGGAAAAATTCAGGCCAAGAGAAGAGAAGTGTAGGAAGGAGAAGAATCTCATGGTTGCGTAACTTGAGGGAATGGTACGGATGCACATCAATTGAACTATTCAGAGCGGCAGCATTTAAGATCAGAATAGCTCTAAAAAAAGTAGTTACTTATATTCTCTCTTATTTTCCCCTCTCGGACGTCTTACTACCCAATGGAGTTGCAGGTTGAATTTGTCAGTTTAAAATTTTATAGTCATAAAAGAATTCTCTTAGGTGTTCCGACATGACCTGCATTATCCATATGAAAACCTTAAGTTCTCAACTTTTCTTGAAGATGACCAGAAGTTCTGTTTATTTTGTTGCTGACAGAAGCCAATAGTTTAAAGCTCATTCAGCGATAATGTGGGTACTGAATCATTCTATTCGTTATTATCTGATAAGTAAAAGTTTAACTATAGCACAAAGGCTATTATCTTGAAACCAAATATTATTAAAATTTAATACCAATTTTTTTAGTTAAAGAACAACATTATTCTACAGTAAATTTAAGTATTTTTGTGCATCTGAATACCTTTGAGTGGAATGAACCCATAAATTGGGTGAGAGTTGTTCTCTTCTTCTAAATGTGCCTATCTTCTAGAGATGTTGGCGACCACATTGACCCATCTTATTCTATTCACAGCAGCTCGAAATAGATCAGTTGACGTTAGACCAGTTCATTTCCTAAAATTGGCCAGCCAAAACATACGAGGTCTGGCTATTAAATAACGAGACTGATTATGAAAAAGAGTTTTATTTTAAAAATTATTCTACAATCGAATGCTCCCCTTCCCTCGCCACACACCGTTCCATTCGTTTTTTCCATTGGTCAAAGCAATGCTGGAAGTCTTCTTTTGTAAGAGCATTTAGGAGCTCCGCCGATTTTTGCTTCACCTCTTCCATCGACTCGAACCGGGTTCCTTCTAAGGCAGACTTGATCTTCGGAAACAGGAAAAAGTCACAAGGTGCTAAATCAGGCGAGTACGGCGCGTGTTCGAGCACTGGAGTGCCTCTAGCGGCTAAATAACGCTTCACAGACAGCGCGTTATGGGCAGGTGCATTGTCCTGGTGCAAGATCCACGATTTGTTTTTCCACAACTCCGGCCGTTTCTTACGAACTCGCTCTCGGAGCGTTGCCAAAACTTTCAAATAGTAAGTTTGGTTTACAGTTTGACCCCCTGGAACCCATTCAGTCATCACGATGCCGTTGATGTCGAAAAAAAACGATTAGCATGGCTTTAAATTTTGATTTCGACATCCTTGATTTTTTCATTCTCGGCGATGCAGGAGTTTTCCAGTGCATGGATTGCCGCTTAGTTTCAACATCGTATTGGAATATCCAGGTTTCATCGCAAGTGATGATGTTTTCCATCAATTCAGGCTCTTCATCTAACCGCTGAAGAAAATCCGAGCAGATCTGTTGAGGGACGAGCTTTTGGTCAGGGGTTTTTTGGGACCAACTTTGCACAGACTTTCTTCATGTTCAATTCGTCATGTAACATTTTTCTGACAGTTTCTTTATTGACGTTTACTGTCTCAGCAATCATCTGAATACTCATACGACGATCTACGCGCACAATTTCATTTATTTTGGTCACTATTTGCGGAGTTAAAACAGAGACAGGTCGACCTGGACGTTGGTCATCCTCGGTGCTCTCTCGGCCTTCAGAAAACCTTTTATACCATTCGAAAACACGATCACGAGATAGAGAATTCTCACCATAGGCCTCTTTCAACAACTTATACTTATAGCACTTAGTCGGAGTTTTTTTGAATTTAACGAGAAATTTCACATTGATCCGTTGCTCGTGTTTTTCGTCACACATTGTTATCGGAACGAAAAAAAACACGTTCGTTTTTAACCTCTACAGAAAAAATACTACTACAGCGACAAAAACGTGTTTTCGTACTGAAAGAGTAGACACTTCCAGCTATCCAACGCTGCATTCGATTCCCACCCTACCCCTCTAGGAGGCCTTCTGCGCGCGCAGTCTCGTTATTTAATAGCCAGACCTCGTATGTCTACGTCGAGGGCCTCTCTAACCCTCAATCTTGCCTTGTAGAATCAACTGTAGAAGTCGGTATTTATCATTACGCATTATGTGGCCGAAGTAAGACAATTTTCTGTTTTTTATGGTGTTAATAATTTCTTTGTTCTTAGCCTCTGGAGAATAGTTATGTTACTTGTGTGGTGTATATATGAGACTCTCAACATACGTCAGTAGCACCACATTTCAAATGCCTCCAATCGTTTTATGGCATCTTCGGTAAGGCTCCAGCTTTCTACTCCATAAAGGAAGACACTAGAGACTGTTCTCCTCCCCTCTTTCTAATTAGTTAATGTACACTATTGCTGATATAAAAATGTTTTTCGAATACCACGCTTGTATCTCCAGTTATTATCAAAACAAACCCAATAAATTAACAATCTTATGAGGTTTTGCAGTTTTGGTTTCACCCTTGCACATGAGATCAAAGAAAGGAAGTGAAGGAACTTAATAGATCCAAAACGAAGAAGGCAATATAGATATGCAGGAAGTTCAAAACACTTGAAAAGCTTCAATTGAAGAACTAACGAACTAATACTACTATTCAAACAAGGCAATAAAAAAACAGCCTTAACACTCAGCCATAACAGCCATAGCAATCAATTTGTTAAGTACCACCCTGAGACTAAAAACAAAATTCTGTAAGAATAAATAAATCAGAAAATAAATTTCACAGATGACTACGATGTTCTGACTTTAAGATCGGGTAGAGATGCAGTATTCGTCATAAAACAAATTACTAAGAATTCGTTAGAGCATAATATATCAAGTTTCAAGGACGTAATTTTGTCTTTTGTACAATAACTTTGGCTTGACCAACAACTCATGTTGGCTGGTAACTCTGGTTTGACCCAGACGTGGTCACCATTTTCGAATAAGGGTTCCCTTTTAATCAAAAATCCTTTTTATATGAATATAGATGGGATACCAAATTAATTGTTAAAATATAGTGGAGCGGCAAGGACAGACCCACTGACTACATTAATTAACAATATTATAAGACACAATAAAATACCAGAAGAATAGAGGACAAATGAGCTAATCTTGTTATTCAAGAAGGGTGATAGAAATAACCAGCAAAATACAAACGTATTAATTTGTTAAATACTACTCTAAAACTAAAATTATGCAAGAATTAATAAATCAGCTCACAAACAGCAGATAAGTAACGTGGTTTCCCTATGAGTAGATCGTGT